TGTTTTTTTTTTTCCATTTTAAAAGTTAGTTCTCTTCCATCTTGTTTTTCAGTGATGTCTTGTGTTAAGAGCTGTATATTTGCATATAAATTTTAGAATCTTCTTACTAGTTTTACAAAAAGAAATCTTATTGATATTTCATCTTTAAATAGCAAGGAATTATTAATGTCATCATATATTAGTGAATTCTTCCATTTCCTTCATTGTCTCAGTTGTTTTTTTTTTCTTGTTGTTGAGACAGGATCTCACTATGTATCCCAGGCTGGCCTCAAACTTGGTGATGGTCCTCTTCCCTCAGCCTCCTGACAGTTGAGATTACAGGCGTGTGCTACACCCCTGGCTTTCATAATTCTTTGAGATTTGTTTGAATTAAAATCCACAAAGTGCATTTCATTGACATGCCGCTTAAATCTGCTTTGCTCTGTCAGTGTCCTTTAACCAGTCTCCTATGCTTTCTCTTCTACATATATTTGGTACTGTCATATTCTGCAGACTTTCAAAGCCTAGGTTTTGCTGATTGTATTGTCATAGTTAGGATGTTCATTTATATCTTATGTTTTCTGTAAATTGAGAGTTAAATCTCAAGGCACAATGAAATTTAGAGGGTTTTTTTTTTTTTAGAAAAGAGCAAGATTATTAAATAAATTTGTGTATGGTTATTTTAGGAAGAATTGCAAAATGGTATTGTTTTTGCTGAAACATTTCTTAACAGATTAAAGGCTTAGCCACTGTATGCTGATTTTTCCTCTCACAGGATCATTCTCTTAAGTCTTAAGCTGTGCCTAGAGGAACAATATTTCTTAGGCATTTATATGTTCCCTGAATGATTACTCCATGTCTTATGATCTAGTGTTCATGATAAATCTGAAGACATTTTGATTTTCCCTTAAAAGGGGAAATCTGCCTGATTATTTAGATCAGGCAGATTTCTGCCTGAATATTTAGATCTGTTTGAAAGCTTTATATATATAAGACTGGAAAATACACATAGTAAAAGTATCTGAAGGTTTTTTTTTTTTTACATTCAGGAAAAAAGTATTATAAAATAAACATAAACCTGACACACTAGATCCAAGCGAGTAGTTGAAGGACTCAGCACCAAGTTTATAATTTTTTAAAGTATTCATTTTGTACTATGGTATCTTAATTTCTCCTTACCTGTATGTGGTAGGTGTCTAAGATCTTAGTTGTCTACTAGGAACTGTGTTTTGAGCAAATCTCTGTAGTTAGGCTCAGAGAGGGATAGTCCCACTCATCTGACTTTCAGAGACTATTCTATGTTTTTTTCCCTTAATTTAACAGATTTTGGACTATTATAGTTAACTGAAAGATATAAGGCTGATCTCATGGGATAAATAAGAACCAGTAATATAAAACAATATTAGGGAGTGAAGAGTGCTTTGAAAACACTGGCTTTGTAACATTTCGATAATGTGATGCGTAAAGGTAACTTTTGAATTACCAAGATGTAATTCTTTTTTTTTTTTTTTTTTTTTTTTTTTTGCGGAAACGGGGATTGAACCCAGGCCCTTGCGCTTGCCAGGGAAGCGCTTATTCCACTGAGCTAGCTCCCCGGTCCTATAATTCTTTACAGAAGAAACATTTGAAAGTACTGTAATCTGAATGAATTATGGATTCAAGCCTTGTGGATAGAACAGCTAGAAGAAAGAGCAATTCTAAAGGAAATGTTCTTGGCATATTTGAGAGGTTGTAGGGGTGCTAGTAACCCTTCCGTAGTATTTTTTATATTCAGTATTTTGTATTGTTTTTGTTTGGTAGATTCTGTTTTGTTTTTACTTTTTAAGATGCCCTTCATTGAGCTATAATTTACCTGTAGTAAGACACTATAAGTATAGAGTTCTGAGTTTTGCCACATATACCCATTTATAGTTGGGTAACTTCCAACAACTTTAAGACTCCAAAGCAGAAATGGGGAACCATAACTCAATCCACCCATAGGACAGGTTACAGGTTCATTGACATCCATCAGAGAAAAACAGTAATTTTCAGGAGACATCAACAAGAGGCATAATGGAATTTAGTAGGCAAAATTTTTAAAGTATACACTAACGGAGTTTTAGCCCTCAAGAGAGAGACACTGCCTCAAGCTGAGTATATTTACAGATGTTTATGGGTAGAAATTTGTAGAATTTAGGAATTTATAGAAAAGGAATTTAATGTAAAAATTACAGGCTTTTTCTGAAGAAGGGTGCTGGCCCATTTATCACAGGGAATAGAGGCAGAGCCAGCCATAAAGGTCCATTTTAGAGGTAAAAAGAGATATTTACAAGTTAAAAAAAAGTTTCCGTACAGCTAAAAGAATTGTCCAGGTCCATTAATAGGTACAAGGGCAAGGGCTTTCTTTTTAATTTAAATTTAAATTTTGATTACTATACATGTTTATAGCACATGCTTATATTCACTGCTGTAAGTTGGTACATGTATATGACAAATCTTCGTTTTTTTATTCCTATTTTCCCTTACCCCCTCCATCTGTTGGTCTCCTTCTCAAAATTTTGCTCATTAATTTTTTATCTCTTGTATGTCTCATGTGATACTTCAACTTATGTGTGTGATTTATTTCACTTAACATCAGTCTTATGATGCATCTATTTTTCAATGACTCAGATTTTTCTTTCTATATGGCAGAGTATTATTCCATTGTGTATAAAAACTAACAGATCACTTCCAGGACTTAGGTACTGTGAGTTGTGCAGCTATGAACATGGGTATGCATGTCATACAGTATCATTAACTCTTTCAGATATACCTAAAAGGGAAATAGCTAGTAAAATTTATTTCAAATTTTAGTCTTTTTTAAAAAATCTCTATACTGATTTCCATAGTGATTTTACAAGTTTACATTTCTCCCAGCAGTGTGGAAGGATTCCTTTTTCCTTGTAGCCTCTCTAGCATTTGTTATTATTTGGTTTCTTGATGATAGCCATTTTTTCTGGATTAAGATGGATTTGCAGTACCATTTTAAATTGTATTTCTCTAATGACAAGGGATGATGAACATTTTTGTGTTTATTGGCCATTTGTACTTTTTCTAAGAAGTACATATTCATTTCAGTGGCCCATTTTTTGATGGGAGGGGTATCCCTTTTTTGAATACTTCATCTGTTCTATTCATAGTCCTGTATCTGAGGAATAGCTGGCAAAACTTTTTTTCCCCATTCTATAAGTTGTTTCTCTACTCCGTTGGTGTTTTCTTTGTTATGCAGTCTTTACTTTGACATGATCCCATTTGTTGGTTCTTGATGTCCTCTCTTAAGTAATTGAGGTTTCTGTTCAGAAAGTTCTTATGCCTATGACTTCAAGCATTTTACCTGTTTTTATCTTTCAGCAGATTAAATGTTTCTGATTTAATGTTTAAATATTTCATACAGTTTGATTTTAGTTTAGTACATGTTGAGAGATAGGGGCCTGGATTCAATCTCCTGCAGGTAGATGGCTAGTTTTCCCAGCGGTATTTGTTAAAGAGACTTTCCTCCAGCACACGTTTTTGGCCCATTTGTCAAAAGACCCTGAAATGACTGAATGTGCTTAGGATTATTTCTGTATTCTTTATTCTGTTCTGTTGATTTGCTTACCTATTTTTATGACAGCACCATGCTGTTTTTAATTGCTCTGGTCTTGTAATATAAATTGAAGTCTAGGATTTTGATTTGTTCTTGTTGCTCAGGATTGCTTTTGCTATTCTGAGACTCTGCTTGTTCTGTATGAATTTTAGTATTATTTATCTAGTTTCGTGAGGAATGTTACTGATATTTTGATTGAGAGTTAATCCCAAATGGCATTAAATCTGTATAACAGTTTTAAAATTATGGCTTTTGACAGTATTTCTGCTGACTCAGAAAGAGGATATCATTCCATTTTCTCATGTCCTAGTTGGTGTCCTTTTTCAGAATTTTGTAGTTTTCAGTGTAAAGATTGTTCACTTTTTTGGTTAGTTTAAGTTTTGTATATTTATTAATTCCTCTTGATGCTATTCAGAATGGCATTGTTTTCCTAATTTATTTCCCTGGTGAATTCATTATTGTTGTACAGGAATGCTATTGATTCTTCTTCTGCTACATTGCTAAATTGGGTTTATTGTAGAAGTCCGTTGGTGGAAATTTGAGGTCTTTCATGTAAAAGAACATGATATCTGCAAATGATAGTAATTTGATTTCTTCCTTTTCATATTTATTCTTTTTGTGTCTTTTTATTCCTAATTGCTCTGATCACAGTTTCAGAGTACTATATAGAAGAAAAAAAGTGATAGTAGACATTCTTTTTGTGACTTTAGTGGGAAAACATTCAGTTTTTCCCTACTTAATGTTGACAGCAGTTTGTCATAAATGGCTTTTATCAGTTTGAGATAAGGTTCTTCTATACTTACTTTCATAAAGGTTTTTATTATGAATGAATGTTGGATTTTCTCTGTGATTTTTTTGTTTGTTTGTTTTTACTGCATCTGCAGAGCTTAAAATTTTAAGTGATTGTAGATTATTCCAAGTTGGTAATTAGGATGACTTTACAAACTAATAAGAAACAAGAATTATAGAAATGAGTAAGAGACCTTTTCAGAAGATCTGGAAAATCTCTTCATATACCTCAGATAAAGCAGGTTTTCTTAAATTTTAGATTTTTTTTTTTTTAAGTTTTGAATGTGAGTGAAGAAATGCATTTATAGCATGATTCTCAGTACAAAAGTATAAATTCCAAATGTAAAAATTATTTTTTTTTGTTGTTCTCCATTTTAAAAATGTTATGCCAAATCTCCTAAGTTAATTTCTTGAGTATGAAGAGCATCTGCCACTAGTAATTTGAAAAATAAATAAGTAAACTTACGGGATAGGTTCTAATAAAGCAGGTAGAATTGTTTCCTTATTTGTCTTCCTTCGTAGTGTTTGAAAGATTTTCCATATATGTATGTTTTACTACTACTTTATTTTTTTCCTGATGGCACACTACTTCAGAAATGAATTGTAATTGAAATTTCCTCTTACTAAGGCTGTTTATATCACTGGAAAAGAAGTTTTCAGCTTCAAAATGATTTCTTACATAGATGCAACTGCTGGTTCTGCATATACAGATATGAACGTGGTAGACCTTCAGGTTAATTTAACTGTTGGTTGCATTGAAGTTGTTTTTGTCACAAAATTTCTGTATTCTATATTGGTAAGTATTTTAATGCTTTATTTTTAATTCATTTATGCTAGTTAGAAGTTGTCCTATATTCAAACAGAAGAATAATGCAGATTTTTTGCTTCGTTTTGTTTTTAATTTTTAAGAAATTTTTTATTTATTCATTCGGTACAGGGTCTCACTATGCAGCTCAGACTCGTAGTGATCCTCCTGTCTCAGCCTCTCCAGTGCTGGGATTATAGGCATGCACCACCACTACCAATTTAGGTGGTCTGCAGGGCATACTTGGGGTTCTAGGGCCAGCACAGCATACAGTACATAGGATCAATCCTGGGTTGTTGTGCTTGCCAGTCAAGTGCTTAGACTGCCAAGCTATCTACCCAGGCCCTTTATTTAATTTTTAAATAATTTTCTGAATATCTTCTATCATACCAAAACCATTAGTACCTTATATATATATGATAAAAATATTCAGTACAGTATTTAGATAGCATCACTTTTGATGAAGACATTTTAGTTAATTTAAATGTATTATGTATATTAGCATATTAATACATGTATTACATATAATAAATATTAAAATCTTACTTTGTATAGCATTGGTGGGGCTGGAGAGATAGCTCAGTAGAATAAGCACCTGTCTGGCAAGCTCAAGGCCCTGAGTTCAGTCCCTGGTACCACAAAAAAAAAAGTATAGCATTGGTTTGAATCCTTGGGTTGCCTATCTTTGAAGTCTAATTTAAAAGTGCCAAACCTAATTAAAATTGGATTTAGTCTCAAGCAAATAAACATTTTCCTTTGCATAAAGTTATTGGACACTTTAAGCAGTTAGATTTAATCCTTATCTCTTTCAGTCCTAAAGCCTTTAGTTCTTAGTTTTGCTTTCATAAGAACTCTTATTTTTTCCTGAATATTATTACTATCTTTTAAAATCACTTCTTTTAAAAATCTGTGTCTTGTTGTTTAAGCCAGATAATTAAATGTAAGGATATAATAGAATAAATAGGTCAAGTATGGCAACACTTACAAGCAGAGGGAATTTATGTATTTATGAGGATAGTTTTGGAGATGTGGAACCCTCTTATGTTAATTCAGAATTTTGAGTGATTTTGTTTTGTGGTATTTTATTTTAAAAATCACAAAACGTTTCTTACAAAAGAGCATTACATTCTGCACACTGCTCTTTTGTGGTATTTTAAATTGCTATTGTCATGCAGTTTTTCTGTAACCATAAAAATCTTTGTTAAAAAATAATAAAGGTAAGTAATCTTTGCCTAATTTATTTTTATCCAAAAAAGTCACTGAAACCTCTTTAACAATGTTATACTTAAATATCACTGAAAATGTGTTATTTTTCTTATGAAGATAAAAATTAACTATAAATATAGAAAATTATTTCACTGAAATATTTTATCTAAAGTTTGTAAATTAAAAACTTTATTCAAAAAGTCTTAAAGGTGTTTTATAGTTTTTAAAAAGACCTTATACAAGTAGCCTCTGAGGTTTTCTGTGGAATAAGATTATTTAGCTCTTATGTCAAGTTCAGTAAGAAAGAAAATAATCAGTGAAACAGTCCACTGTTATTATTTTGCTTTGTTCCAGGAACTAGCTTTCTCTTTTATCAATATATTCATAGTTTTCATTTTTTTCTAGCAGAAAATTAATGTCGATAATTATATCTTGGATAAAGTCTGGTTTTATCAAGTACAGTTTTTTTCATATGGAAATAAAATTAATAATAACCTTTCTGGTTATGGTCAAAATCCTGGATGTATAACACCAGAACAGGATTTTAAAAGCTGTTAAAGGAAAACTCATTAGAATTGCAGCAGACTTAACATAAACCTTAAAGATCAGGAAGTAAAACTGGAAGTACATTATATATTTAATAAGCCAATTAATGATAACAATAATATAATTCTATCATCTCTATAGGCTTTTGTAGATAATTTTCAAGCAGCTAAAGAAGCCTTGGCTGAAGCAACTGTACAGGCAGCAGGTATGGCTGCTACTGGCGTAAAAGAACTGGCACAAAGGAGTTCAAGATTAGCACTCGATGTTAAGATCAAAGCCCCGGTGGTGGTCATCCCACAGTCTCCAGATTCAGCAAATATTTTTGTAGCTGATTTTGGATTAATTACAATGACCAATAAATTCATTATGGTGACACAGAGCCAGAGCAATCCTCCACCTGTTATTGACCTGATAACAATAAAGCTGAGTGAAATGAGACTTTATAGGTAAGCTTTTCACAGAAGTCTATGTGTATAAAATCCAATCTTTTTCTTAATTTTTATATTGAATGCTTTGGTATCTTGAATATTTAATTTATAGTAGAATTTGTTTTATTATAATTATACTTGGTTTTGTGATTCTCTCCCAAGCATATCTTTTTAGCAAGATTAATTGTAGCTTTACTTCTAAAAAACTAGAAAACATTTGAGAATTGCTTCATAGGTAATTAAGAAAACTAAACATTATTGCTGAACTAAACATTATTTGTTTTTTGGTGGTGCTTTATAAATGTAAATAATTATATCTTGGATAAAGCTTGGTTTTATCAAGTACAGTTTTTTCATATGGAAATAAAATTACTAATAACCTTTCTGGTTATAGTCAAAATTTTGTAAGTGTAGAAGAAATGGGCCATATCTTGTTTATTCACTTTATAAACACAGTGACACCAAAATTCATCTAATTTATCAGCTTTGTGTTTGGATGTGATGCTCTAATTTAAGCAAATAAACAATGGAGTATAATATTCGTAATCATTTGACAAAGAATTAAGAAGTTGGGAAACAAGTATCCTCATAGTTCCAGGGCTTTTATATTACGTGTTCAGTGTTTCAGTGCTATTTCAGTGCTATTCAGTGCTATTCGTTACCTGTTTTTTCCACCTCAGATTCATCTTATTTATTGCTCTCACTTAAATGATTTATTTCTTCCTATCAATTTTCTTTGATTTTATTTTTTCTCTCTTTTTTAATAACTAATGCTTCTCTTTGGCCTCTGGCTGATCTGTCTCTTGTTCCTGCCCTTCATTTTATCAAATGAATATTTTTAAAGCAACTTTGAGAAATAAATCACATTCAATAAATTGTGTGTCTTCAAAGTATGCCATTTGTAGCAAAAAAAAAAAAAAAAAAAAAAAAAAATCCTTATTCCATTAAGGGGGGCCTGCCCTTTAGCTCAGTTCTTTAAGTGCCTGCTTCAACAAAGCAGTCAGGCTCAGGTTGCTGTGGTTCCATCCGCACAACTCAAGCCAGCCAAACCTGCCCTGAAGGTATTCAGAGCCAAAACAAACAAACAAACAAACAAAGTATACCATTTGTTATAGTATGAGTTTACATACAGATGTATTATTTCTTCCTTAAATATTAAGTTAGAGTTCAACAGTAAAACCCTCTAAAGCTGGAATTTAATTTGTGGAGTTTTTTAAACTACAGTTTCCATTTCTGTTATAAATTAAGAACTTCATTCAGATTTTTTGACTGATCCCTGCTCATTTTTTTTCAAGGATTTTGTTCATTTAGGTTGTAGAATTTAATAGCATACAATTGTTTGTAATATTCCCTTCATTAGTCTTTATTATCTGTAATGCTCTCTCCTCCTTTTACTTGTACCTTCTGACTGACGCATTTGGTTAGAAGTTTATCCATTTTACTGATCTTGAAGAATCTGCTTTTGATTTTACTGTTTTCTCTATTTTCTTTCATTGATTATTTCCTGTTTATTACTCTAGGTTTAGTTTTGCTCTTTTCCTAAGTTTCTTTAGGTGGTGACCCAATTTTATTGATTTGCAGTATTTTGTAATATAAGTTACAGTGCTATAAATTTTTAGATCCTTTCTTTGTAATTCTCTTCTCTCTCACATTTGAACATCAGCTGATTTGATCTCCTTGCACTCTCAGTTCTGGATTCTTCTTCCATGTGCTAATGTCTGTAAATTATCTCAAAATGGTAGTAAACTGAGGCATTATAAGGCACACTTTTTTTACCCTCTATAGAGTCATTACTTAACTTTTGATGTTTTTTCTCCTAGAAACTATTTCTTTTAATATATTTTTATTTTTATTTTTTCTCTTGGAAAGGACACTATATTATATTAAAGTAGAAAGTTTTATGTAACTTTATTGGACAAAATGGCAGTTTTTTCAGATGTATCTTTAGCATTTACAAGCACCTAGTATATCTCAGGATTGTGGTCAAAACAAGTATATATAATATATCATCTTTATACCACCTTCCTGGCAAGCCCAAGGTCCTGAGTTCAATTTCTGATACAGAAAAAATGATAGTATGCCATCTTTACAAGCAGTTAATAAATAGTACCGACTTTATTGACTTGTAGTGTATTCTGTTTAATGTGCTATTGCATAAAAATGTGGATCACCTTTGGATTTTGGAAAGATCATAGAAAAATAGGTCAAAAAGACACAAAGCTCTGTGTTAGAATAATTTGTTAGATATTGTAATTCATTCAAAAATTATAGAAGATTTAGTCTGAGGTAGGGAAATGAGGTAATAATGGTTTAACAATTGTAAGAAATTTTATTTTTATTTTTGTATTTTAGGGAAGGGTCTACAGGGTGTTCAGGGTCTCACTACCAGATCAGACTCGTAGTGATCTACCTGTTTACAGCCTCCCAAGAGCTGGGATTACAAGCGTGTGGCACCATGCCCTGTCTTAATCGCCCTCTCAGCACATCCCAGGGGCGGGACCGGCAGGACAGACCTGGGGATAGAACCCCAGGCCCCTCCGCCTTTTGCAGGCACTTTAATCTGCTGAGCTATTTGGCCAGCCTTAAGAAATTTTAAAAGTAGAATCAATAGCACATGATTAGTGAGTGGATGTGAAAATTAAAAGAGAAGAGAAATTAAAATTTATCTAAGGCTGAAAAAAGTGATTTGACATTATAAGTGATTTCTCTAAGTGGCAAGGTAACTTGGAGGTACGTGTCTGACTTCCATACAGAGAGATCTGCATTACAGTTTACCATATATTCTGAATATTAAGAAAGTAAACATGATCATTATTTGCAGATGACATGATACTTTACATAGAGGACCCCAAAAACTCTACCAGGAGTCTTGTAGATTTAATCGCTAAATTCTTCACCGTGGCAGGATACAACACCACCCAAAAATCAGTAGCATTTTGTACACAAACAGTGAAGGCACTGAGAGAAATTAGGGAAACCACATCTTTCTCAATAACATCCCAAAATGAAATACTTAGGAATCAGTCTCACAAAGGAAGTAAAAGATTTATACAGTGAAAATTATGGTACTCTGAGAAAAGAGACTGAGGAAAATTTGAGAAAATGGGAAAATATTCCATGCTGCTGGATAGAAAGAACCAACGTGGTGAAAATGGCCACACTCCCACAATTGTTATACAGATTCAATACAATGCTGATTAAAATATCATTAGTATACCTCACAGAGCTAGAGAAATCTTTCTTTATATTTATTTGGGCCCAGAAGATACCCAGAATGTCAAAAGCAATCTTTAAAAAGGAAAGGCAAGAAGTAGCACAATTCCTGACCTGAAATTATACTATAATGCTACTGTAATAAAATCAGTATGGTGTTGGCATAGAGATAGACTTGAAGATCAGTGGAACAGATTACAAGATGCATGCATAACTGCAAAAACACTCAGCTTTCTTATCTTTGATAAAGGGGCTAGAAATGTTCACTGGCAGAAAAATAGCCTCTTTAATAAATGGTGCTGAAAAAACTGGCTTCATATGCTAAAACTAGACCCTTGCCTATCACGTTGCACTAAACTACAGTCAGCATGGATTAAAGATTTAAACATTAAAACAGAAGCACTGAATCTTCTAGGGGAAAGTATAGGTAGAAATCTTAACAACAGGGATAGGTGGAGAGTTGATGAACAAAAACCAGACTGCACAAGAATACTTCAAAGAACAACTGGAATCTCATCTTTTTGAAAAGTTTCTGCCCTTCAAAGCAAATTTCCAACAGAGTTACAAGAAAACTCACGAACTGGGAAATTATGTCCAACCATCCCTGCAACATAGGCCTTCTGTCTAGAACATATAAAGGATTTTTTTTTTAAAATCAGGCCCCCAAATTCAAAGACCCAATCCAAAGATGGGCCTCTGAGATAAATACACAGTTCTCAGAGGAAGAAATACAAATGACAAATAAATATATGGAAAAATGTTCGACATTATTGGTCATTTGAGAAATACAAATTAAAACAACACTGAGATTCCATCTCACGCCAGAAATAATGGTCAACATCAAGAAGCCAGCCAATAACAAATGCTGGCAGGGCTGCATGGGAAAAAGGAACCCTTCTGCACTGTTGGTGGGAGTGCAGACTGGTGCAACCAGTATGGAAATAGTGTGGACATTCCTTAAAAAGCTACAATTGGAGATCCCATTCAAGCTACCTATTTCCCTCCTGGCTGTTTTTTCAGAAGAACTGAAAACCTCCTAACAGTGATATATGTGTACCCATGTTTATAGCAGCACAGTTTGTCATAGTTACATCCTGGAATTAACCCAGATGCCCATCAACTGAAGATTGGATAAAGAAGATGTGATATTTTTACACAATAGAGTATTACTCAGCTATAAAACAGGATAAATTTGAGGCTTTTGTCAGTAAATGGGTGTAACTACACAACGTACTCTAAGTGAAATAAATCAGACCCACGTGTGCAAACATCATGTCTCCTGAGTGTGAGAACCTGAGAGAAAAATGGAATCTAAGGGGTACGATAGATAACTGGAAAAGGGATTGAACTTAAACAGAGTTACTGGTTGAAAAGGAAAAGGGAGAGTGGGGGAAAGAGATATATCTTTTTATGTAAGTGGGATGGTTTGGATAAATGTGCATTTCTGCTGGTCCATGGAAAGAAACAGTGCTTTCATTTGTTTTGTGTCCTTTTTTAAATTGTACTTTTTCTCATCTTAATTTCTTATGCATTTCTTATTTTCTTCCAATTTTACATGCATATATCTGGCAATGTGAACAACTGGTTGGAAGACAACACTATGCATTACAACAAATACTCTGAAATCTATATTACTTTAAGTGAAATTCTATATCACTTGTAATTTTTTGTTTTCTAATACACATTCTCTTTAAAAATAAAAGAACTCGCTTAGATTTCTACATTTGAGAGATTAGTTATATTTAGTTTTTTAAACCATTAGAACAAGAAAGATCACACAGGGAGATCATAGAGTGGGTGTGTGT